CACATCACAGAGGTACGCCGTTCCTTCAATTAATCAATTAACTCTTTAACAAATCATGCGGTGGATTAGATTGCCGTCATCAGTGTAACAGTGTGACAGTATCGGTCACATATTATCTGTGATATATTTGGAGATCTAGTTTAATTCCTTACTGGATCATGATCACTTTTAGGTTATGACATATTTTCTGCATCTGCTGTCCTGCCTTTGAGATAGGACTGTTCATCTCCCAGTTGTTTTACAGTCTATGGAATTATAAAGATGTTCCAGCTGAGTTTTCCTCCTTGTTTTTCTGACTCTCTGTTTTGTTAATGACCTGTCCAGATCGAGCCCCAGACTGGCCCAGTGGAAGGGGGCATCGCCCTCACTATCTGGGGCTCCAACCTGGGACAGAGTTTTGAGGATATCCAGGCAGGGGTTACCGTGGCTGGGGTGAGCTGCGTACCACAGCCCCAGGCTTACCTCATCTCCACCAGGTAAGGCCAGGCCCCGCTGGCTGGGGGCAGTCCTTCTGCTAGGCCCGTGTGTGGGGCAGGAGGAGGGTTTGTTCGTATTGCTGGGTGGAAGCAGGCACTGGTGGAATCTTGTTGAGACACACACCAGAAATCTTCCGCTTCCCCTGGTGGAGATACATCTCTGCTCCACACTCATCACACACCCACAGTCTGCTTTCAGACAGTGGTCTAGTTGCCTAGTCTGTGCACATTATAGAGTTTATAGAGAACAGTGCTAACCTGAGTCTGTCTCAGAGTGCTGTGTGGGAGTGTATTTACAGTGAGTGCATGTGTGTCTAAGGGTGTTGTGTGAGTCTGTATTTAATAGTGAGGGTGTGTGTGTATCTCAGGGTGCTGTGTGAGTCTGTATTTAATAGTGAGGGTGGGTGTGTGTCTCAGGGTGCTGTGTGAGTGTGTATTTACGGTGAGTGCCTGTCTGTCTGCATGTGTGTCTCAGAGTGCTGTGTGAGTGTGTATTAATAGTGAGGGTGTGTGTGTGTCTCGGGGTGCTGTGTGAGTGTGTATTAATAGTGAGGGTGTGTGTGTGTCTCAGGGTCCTGTGTGAGTGTGTATTAACGGTGAGGGTGTGTCTCAGGGTCGTGTGTGAGCTGCAGCCCAGCGAGGGAGAGACTGAGGGCCCAGTGAGGGTGACGGTGGGTGACCAGGACTCGGACTCCGGAGAGTCAGAGCAGACCTTCACCTACCAGGTAATCCGCTGGTAACCTTTTCTCAGCCTTCTCCTTTTCACCCTTCCCTGTGCGCGATGTATGAGTTCAGTATGCCTCTCTCCATGCCTGCCTGTGGGTCTGCTCGTCTCGGCAGGATCCCCAGCTGAGCAGCATCACTCCGGCCAGGGGTCCGATGGCTGGTGGGACCTTACTGACAGTGCTGGGGTCCAAACTGCGCACGGGACAGAGGAGCGACCTCGCCGCCTACACGGGACACGCCCCCTGTCTCATGTAGGTGCCCTTCTGCCCTCTCCCCCTTCCTGCCCGGCACCCCTGGGACCCTGTCTCTCAGTCACATTCCCAGCAGGACAGCGCCTCCTGCAGGACGGGGTGAGAGCTCATGCGATGTGGGCCGAGCCTGAGCAGACCACCTGTGGGCAGTTCATTCTGTCGCCCAGCGGTGCGAGTGGTGAGAGGGGTACAGGGCCCGGCCCTGATTCTCCTGGGTGCTGTGCTGCAGCCGTATGTTCATTGCCCTGGTGCTCTGCGGTAAAGATCAGTTTTTGTTTTTTGTGTCTCACCTGGGCCACAGCAGGTGAGATCAGTTTCTCCCCCAGAGAGGCTGTCAGGAGTCTGAAAGCAGCCCTTCAAGTAGAAGTGTCTGGTCGCTCAGCGAAAACAGCGTGGTGCTGATGACCTGTTTTGTTGGTTTTTTTGGGGGATAAAAAAAAACATCAAACATTTGCAGAAATGGCAGTAGAGTTCCCAGTTATCCTCCCACAAAATCCTCTCTTGTGGTTTTCTGCTGGTCTTCTGAAAGCTGACCATGTTGATGTTGCCCCTGTTCTCCTGTTCTTGGGGTGTCAGGGAGGGAGAGGTCACGGACACCCAGCTGGTCTGCCGCACCAGCCTGACCAATGAGACGGCGGACGTGGAGGTCAAAGTGCTTTTCGGCCGGGCAGAGAGGATTCTGGGGGATTTGGTGTTCCAGTACACAGAGGACCCAGTCATTACCTACGCTGCCCCTGCGGAGAGTTTCTATGGGTAAGCAGACTGCAAGCTGACCGCTCATTAACCCATTTCGAACCAGAGCATGGACTCCCTTCGTTAACACCTTCTTAACTGGCTGCCAATGAATGTTAAAACGTGCCCATCACCCTTTAGTCACTGCGTTCAATAACCAGATAATAGTAAGAATGGTTTGTTGAGGAATTATAAGGCCATGCCTACAATGACAGAAGGATGGCATTTTTGCTTTAGTCCATTTTGAAGTAGTCTTTCAGAGATTTATAAGGGAAAAATATTGCTAAATTTTCAGATTTAAGAATTAAGAGCCTGATTTATTGTCAGCAGTTCACAAATGTGGCACGAAGAGACAGATATATTAACTGGTTATTTTTGAGTTTCTGCAGGAGTTCAAAAATAAAAATAAAAATGTGTTTTTTTTAAAGTGCTGCTGGTGGTTTGGTGTGTCCCCAGGGGTGGGCGTGTCATTAAGGCCAAGGGGCGGAACCTAGATGTGGTGCAGCGGCCAATCATCATGGTGCAGGCGGAGCCAGCGGAAAGTGGGCAGGGACGGCAGAAGCGGTTCAGCCAATCAGCTGCCAGGAGTGAAGGAGGCGTATCAAACAGTAGCAGTGTTCAACAGGTACAGCAGGCCCCAAATCCTTTTCCTGGCTCAACCCAAAATTCAAGGAGCACTTCCCAGTGGGGCAGTCTCCAGACACTGCATAGTGTGGAGCTGCACTGTTCCTTTTACCCAGCAACACAGTAGAAAAAATTGAGTTTTATAATGTTAGCCTAAAGCAGAGCTCGCATAATCTCCTCGCGTTGCATAGTTGTGGAACCCAGCGGTTCAGACAGGCAGGTGCGAAGGCTTCCCAAAACGTGCTGCATCCAGTACAATACAGCACTGGAGACGAGAGGAGTTGTTCTTGCATGTGGAGCTTGTGTTGCGCACTGGGGAAGAGCTGGGGAGAAAAGGGTAGCAAAACATATAATTAAAGATGCCTCCCAACCCCTGAATTTACAGTGTGCTCTGCTTCTAACAGGGTCCCAGGAGCTGTTAGAGTTGTGTATAAAAGGTCCTTTATCCCACACTCCATACAAGTACCGAACGCAAACTGTTAATGATGTTTTATTTGTACCAGGTAGTTGCATTATGATCAGTTTGACTTTATCTGTGAATGTTTGCTTTTTCGTGTCTGATGTGTTGTTCTTCTTTCATGTTTGCTGATTAATCTTATGTTGTGTATTTTAATTAATTGTGTTAGTTGTAATGGAGTTAACCTAAGACAAATGTCCACTCTTAGTGGACAATAAAGTTAATGGAAGAAGCCGATCTTTTGCAAAGCTTCCCTTTGAGAGAGGAGCTGAACGTGCTTTATTTGCCAGTCTTTTGTATCTCTGCTGCGAAGACGGTGGCCTTTGATGACGCCCTCTGAGAATGAATTGTCACTGTGTGATGGTATAATGATCCCTGTGGGACTCCGGCTCCTCTGTGTTTTAGATCGGAGACTGAAGCTGGTTTGTGTGCTCAATCCGCCTGGTTTCTGACACGTGCTGCTCTGCTCCCCCACCTCTCTGTCTCAGGAGCCGTGCCTGGTCCACTCCCCTGAAGACATGGACTGCCCCACGCCCCCGGTCCCCGCGGAGTTGAAGGTCGTGGGGGTGTGGTTCCAGATGGACAACGTGCGTGTGGAGTTTGAGGAAGTGGGGGAGCGCCCCTTCACCTACCACCCCGATCCGGAGCTGAGACCCCTCAACGGCGACAACCCCGATCAGCCCTTCCGTTTCAAACCCGGCGGGGTCCTCGCCGTCGAGGTGAGACTGACCAGCGGGCAGCTGGACACTGTGAGTCCAGCCAGTAAGAGCTGGACAGGCAGTGAGTGAGTCGAGCACAGACAGGAAGTCAGACTGCTGAGACAGGAAGTCAATCTGTCGGGCCACACAAAGACCGCCCTACACAAGCATGCACGCTCGTATACCTACGTGGAGCCTGTACCTGGCCCTGGCGTGTTGAGTGACCCACCGCTGACCCTTGACAATGGCTTGCAGGGCAGAGGGCTGACCCTTGCGATGACCCGGGAGGAGGTGATTGCACGGGTGGGCCAGGAGGAGTGCGAGATCAAGACGCTGGACAGCACTCACCTGTACTGCGAGCCGCCCGAGAGCCAGCCCAGCCCAGAGGACACCAGCCCCCTGCCCGCGCTGACCGTGAGTCACTCTGCACATCTGTCTGTCTGCGCTGTGACACCAGCCCAAAGAGCACTGACAAGCCTGCATTTGCTGATTGTTAGTCTCTCTC